GACTACCAATGTATTTTCTCTTGCTTTTTGTTATAATTCTTATACACTTTTATATGTAGCACATGTGCCTACTAACCCTTCATGCCCTTAGAAACCCAATGCAGTGTGCTAGCTAGCTCAGTAACACAATTGCATGGTTAACACTTTGTGCTTATGCGTCACTAACCAGAAAATTCAAGCACTGTAAAAACTGGGAGATCTAGCTAGTGCTACTTATCTTATATAATGTACTTTTCTATAAAGGGCTGTTCCAGAAGTGAATGTATGGGGTGTTGGGAGGCACTTTCTCAGCTCTCACTTTTGATTCAATTGGAAAGATGCAGAGCATTTTAAATTTCTAAATTTTATTGAACACAAAACAAAAAGCATGATCCAACAAACATATAAATGTTTTGAACATCCAATATGTGAGTGATGTCCATTTTATCCACTGTATAAGTAGTATCTTGTAACGTCCACCCTGTCCCTTGCTTTTTGTAAAATTTAAAATTGAGAATGGAAATGGGGAATGTTTCAAAGAGACAACAACCCGACCATAGAGCAGACAACAGCTGAAGGCCACCAATAGGTCTTCAATGCAGCGAGAAACTCCCGCACCCTGAGGCGTCCTTTAGCTGGCCCCTAAACACATATGTATACTAGTTCAGTTGCATGTTTTTATATAGATTAGACTGTTGGTTTTCATGTTTGAATGGTTTTACACTAGTATTTTTGAGGCCCTTTATAGCTTGCTGTTCGGTGTGAGCCAAGGCTCTGTGTTAAAGACCGTACTTTGACCTATATTGGTTTACTTTTATAAATTTTGACTTGAATGGAGAGTTGTCTCATTGGCACTCACACCAAATCTTCTTATATCCAATAAAAGTTTGAATTGTTTTACGTTTTTGATTTCGGGACCTTATATAGCTTTGCTCATTGTTGAAGGCCGTACGGTGACCTATAGCTCAGCTGTAAATTTCTGTGTCATTTGGTCTCTTGTGGAGAGTTGTCTAATTGGCAATCATACCACATCTTCTTTTTTATAAAGACAAGATTCCATATGCAAAACATTATTTTGTGGGTGTATAGAAATTCAATGAAATCCTATATTAATTGTTTACACCCATTCATTACAACTGCTGGAAAATTACAATTAAGTACCATGGATTACAGAAATATAACCAAAAACCTCATCTATATACCAAAAAGAATAGCCTAGTTTATTTCACTAAATTTCTTTCCAAAATTTGTGACCACAAATATATGAATCTGATTAAAAAAAAAAATTCTGGTAAGTTGTTATTGGGCTCGTTTCTCTAAAGGTCACAAGTTTGATGGTAACTTCTTATCATTCAATACAAATTATGACCGATCTTCAAAGTCACAAGTCCTTAGATTAAACAGAACCCTATAGTTCCTTTCAGCAAGGGTAACTGTAAAAAGCTTATTTTACATGTCAACATTAAAGTGACATGTTATTTCATGCAATATTTTATGGCAAATTTGATATCTAGGTGAACATATTTTCAAAGCAAAATGTTACTTTTAAGTTGAAAAGAAAAGTGTTTTGATATATTGGCCATGCAGGCAGTGAACCGGCACTACTTACCTGAAGGGAAATAACACTTTTGAAAAGCTATGAAATTGTGACGCATACAACTGAACTGGATACAACATTGGCCGTTTCTGTGTATTGATTTATTACTGGCATACTTATGCATTTAGATTTGCATCTCTGGTTAAAGTCTGTCTTAAATGTAATAGTATTACTATTAAACTCCTAAATATGTGTTTGTTTTGAAAAAAATTAGTACAATTTATTCAGAAATTTCAACGTTTTCTTTATTGATACAGGATACCATAATCGTTGTATCTTGATGTTTTAGCCAAAAAAATGTATTTATTGGTTTTGAAATTCCAGTTTTATACAATTAATTCCAATGTGAAATTCCTATTAATCCAGTAAAGTAAAAAACTTTTAACTTGGAATTAAAAGCTTATAATAGGCATCATGTGCTATCTGTGACCTGTACACCATCTACATGGTTTCCACATATTTTTTTTGTTAACCTTCTTTAGTGGGCTAAAATCGATAAAGTACTTCCTTTCAAGTCATGCATGGTAAAAGTTTACTTCTCCTTTGACAATATTATTGCATTTTTGAAAAGTGTTTGCAGAATATGATTAAAATTTAAAAAAAAAATTTGTGACAAAGATACCAACTCTGTACATTCCAAGTGTAACGGTATATCAACATGTATTTTTTTTTAATTAGCTTTATTTACCTAAAATATCAAGTACAATTTACTGCTAAAGCAATATCAATTCAACGAGCATCGGCAGAATGATAAGAAACGTTATGTTGATCAAATTTTCCAAGGACCCTTTTCATCGTTATCCGGAAACAAAGTGTGTTGTAACGTCTTAAATAAGAAATCGATTTTGTCAAGCCATTGGGCATTTATTTTCACTCAAGATCGTATGTAACATTATGCACGTAGGAAAAATAATAGACCCCGGCGCGATCTCTTTGAAAATTGTATTTTCCTTTTTTAAACAATATGAAAACAGTCTACATAATATGCTTGCTACTATCCCGTTGGATACCCGGCCGTATGCGCTTAATCACATGTTAGCCACACGTTTCACGTATGACCAGAAATGATTTGGACTGAACGACAAAAACAATTTTAATAAAAAAAGTAAATAACTGGAATTCTGTTTCGAGTGAAATGTAACGCATAACGATAACGTCATTTTCTAACTTAATTATTACCAAGAACAAAACTAGAATGTAAATAATCAATGATTTACCTGTTTGAACATCTCGCGAGAGTTCATATTTGCATATTGTTATGAATAATTCAAGTACAATAAAGCAGACAAACAATCTAAAATTTGCGGTACGAAATCGGAAACCAAAGTAACGCTACTTTTCTTACACCTGCTACAAAAATACTTAAAGTTCTCAGCAATTTCTTCTGACTATTCTTTTTTGCATGTTTTGATCGATGTTCTTTATTATTTGAAAGCAAAAGTTACGATTTTGCAGGCGACGATTATCTTTAAATCGGGCAGCGTTACGCACTTCGGAAGCGAAAATAACGGTAAGAAACGACATACAAAAGTGGCCTGATAATCTTAAACATTTGTTTATTTCAAATTCTCTCTAGGGGAGATTAGAAAGCACCTATATTTTAATAGAAATAATAGCTGTAAACTCTAAAGAATGATCAGCAAAAATAAGATATATATATCAGTCAGGGGACTTATTGAAATAAGTGATTTTTAAATCACTTATTTAAGTAGCAAATTTGAAGTTTTGTCACAAATTGTGATTTTGTAGTTTTACCAAAATTTTAAACACATAGGTTTAGATAATATCATTTCATTAGTAAAATTGAAAAAAAATGAACCTTTTGCTTCTTTTAAGTAGCAAGGTTTATGCCTTTGATGCAATCATTTAGCTGTAAATTCTATTTTAGTGGAAAAAATGCTACAAAAAAGGCTTTACATAATGAACTGATACTTTCTTAACAGATTTTTCCCAGCAGTGGGAGTATTTTTCCTGTAAAATTCAAGGTTTCATCTTACAGATTGTGTAATAAAATTCTACTGTTCACGATCAAAATTTCACTGTTCGGGGGTGTTGAAATTAGTGGGGGCTATTAAAATAATGATACTTAAAGAAGTTTTGGAAGGACATTAAAGGTATGATACAAACAAGTGATTTTTATGTCATTATCCCAGATTCAGTACAAGGTCATCACCTGACATGACCGGTCATCCTATCAACACAGATGTTGGTTCTGATAATTTTAGCAACATAATTTTTCCTTGGATCATTAGTATTGTATATTTAAAGCTACAATAGAATTAAATCACTTAGTCTAGTGATTTATTTGTACTACTAAAATAGGTGATTATTAAAGAAAGACAACTCTTACTTCCAACCTTTGTGGACATAATGTTACTTGAATCAGTGATTTAGAAAATCACTCATTTAAGTAAGTCCCCTGACTGTATATAAAATGTTAATATTATTGAACCATCAATTGGCTTCATATTAAGAGTTGTTGCCCTTCAACATGTTCAATGATGATTTTCATCAACTTTTCATATTTTTGGATATTATCTGATAAGCAAAAGGCATCCATGAAGAAGACAAAAAAATCTTCTAGCAATAATGATATCTACAATAAAACTCCTCATTTTTATTCCTGTTCAGATAAATCATTTATGTCTTTTTCCCCTATACCTGTTGTTCTCAGAAGTGGGTCTGGGGGTATGGGGCTTATGACCCGTCTATCAGTCATTTTCTAATCTTTTCTGGATAATAGCCCAATACTTTATATAGATTTCAATCTAACTTTGAAATCTGGTCATATATAATGAGAGGAAGAGCCCTATTAATTTTTGAGGTCACCACTTCTATGATCAAGGTCAGAGTTACTAAAAAAAGATAAAATTTGGGCAAAAAGGTGGTTACATAATTACTCAAATTCTTTATATCAGATTGCAAACGTTCTTTGGTATATATGGTCACTTAAAATGGGGGACAGATCCTTATTGAATTTGAGATCACAAGTTCACAACCTTAAAGGTTAAGGTCAAAGTTCCTAAAAAAGACCATGTGTAAATAATTATATGGTCACATATATTATGAGAGGGATCTCTATTGATTTCGAGGTCACCACCTCTAAGTTCAAGGTCAAATATCAAATGAATATATATAACTTTATTGTAAAAGATGGAAATTTGTTCAAAAATTTGGTTTCTGGATGCTAAATCAAACATTAATTACATGACAGATTGCAACATTACTGGCATATATTGTAATGTTACTATACTATTAACCTTTAAGTCATTTGGTCTAAGGTCAAGGTCATACACAGTTTACTAAAATAAATAGCATAACAGATAGAATACCGGGTATTACTGGCTATAATCATAATTTATATTGGAGTGAAAGGGGGTATGTGAACTTGCTTACTTAAGATTCTTAATTTTTTTTTCTTCAGGAAGATGTACTAGATTGTGTGATTTTTATCGTAGATCAAGAATTATGTCAACTTGGAAGCCATGCATATGTTGACTAGGTTTTGATTTTTCAATGACAATCTTCTGCCTGGTAGACTCCTCTTGATAATTTGGTACAAGGAATAAAGAAGACTTTACTATGGCATCTCTTTCTGAAGAGGAAGAGAACTATGTTCGAATGAGTTTGTTACTGACAGGAATTTCTCCACGTGCTGTTAGAACCTGTTTTGATAATGAGTTTGCTCCAACAAATTTAGATGCCTCACTGAAGAAAGAGTATAACAAACTGTTTGACCTGAAAAAGGAAGGTATAATCAACCAATCACAATGGAGTCTCCTGTTTCCAATATTGCCTGGTAAGTGCAGAAATAAAAATTTTATGATATCCTTTTATAGCTCACCGGGGCTGAAAGGACAAGTGAGCTTTTCTCATCACTTTGCGTCCGTGGTTATTCAGGTTATTGCCCTTAAATGACAAATTTTACCATTTTTTTTCCTTTTTGCCAAATATTTGTAAAACTGTGATAGATAGAGAGAATCTTTAATATGAAAAAGTAATCAGCAAGAGAAGATCTACAAATAAGTCAAATTGCTGAAATTATCAGACAACTCCTTATTGGGGTTACTGCTTTTTAATGAAGATTTTTACCAAATTTTGTGTTTTTACCTAATATCTGAAAAACTATAATAGATAGACATGATAGATACAAACTTTAGATAGCCAAAATGATCAACAAGACAAGATCTCCAAATAAGTCAGCATCATAGAAATCATCAGTCGACTCCTTTTTGAAGTTATTGCCCTTTACATGTTTTTAGCATTTTTGCCTATTATCTTGAAAATTATAATAGATAGATAGAAACATTAAACAGGAAAACAGATCATCATGACAGGATCTACAAATAATTATATATTGTAATATAACCCTTGTAATGTAGTTCCTGAGAAAGATGCGACGAAAAAATATTCATGTGACGGACTGACGGACTGACAGACTGACATATTGCCATTATGGCTGAAATCTTCAGTCGACTTTTTATTGTAGTTATTGCCATTTAAAGATGATTTTTACCATTTTTAGGCATTTTTGACTATTATCTTCAAAAGTATAATAGATACAAATGTAGATATAAACTTTAAAAAGCAAAAATGATCAGCAGGATAAGATCTACAAACGCGTCAACATGACTGAAATTGTCAGTTAACTTTTTATTGTGTTATTATTCCCCCGCTTTAACATGTTTAAAAAAGTGGGGGCATACTATTTTACCTCTGTCTGTCCATCCATCCGTCAATCCGTTTGTCCATCCATCCTTCCGTCAGTCCGTCCGTCCCATGAATATTTTTTCGTCGCATCTTTCTCAGGAACTACATTACAAGGATTTATGAAATTTGGTTTCAGGGTTTATATAAGTCAGCTATACCCCCGCTTTAAAAAAGTGGGGGTATACTGTTTTACCTCTGTCTGTCCATCCATCTGTCCGTCCATCCGTCAGTCCATCCATCCGTCAGTCCATCCATCCGTCCGTTCAATGAAAATTTTTTTCGTCGCATCTTTCTTAGCAACTACAATACAAGGCTTTCTGAAATTTGGTTTCAGGGTTTATATAAGTCACCTAAACCGTGTGATGCGTTTTTTTCAGATTCATCACTCAACAACTTCCTGTTTATCGAACACTTGTATCATTTTACACATAATTTTACACATGATAGCCAAGTTGAAAATTTTCGTCACATTTTTTCGCAGGAACTGCAATACAAGGATTTCTGAAATTTGGTTTCAGGGTTTATATAAGTCACCTATACAGTGTGATGCGTTTTCAGAGTCATCACTCAACAACTTCCTGTTTACCTAACAATTGTATCAATATACACATGATAGCCAAGTTGAAAATTTCGTCACATTTTTCTCAGGAACTACAATACAAGGATTTCTGAAATTTGGTTTCAGGGTTTATATTTAAGTCACCTATACCGTGTGATGCGTTTTCAGATACATCACTCAACAACTTCCTGTTTACTGTCAAGTATTTGGGCGGGGGTATCATCAGTGAGCAGTAGCTTGCAGTTTCACTTGTTGACTTTTCGTGATGATTTTTAACAAAAAGAGGCCATTGTTGAAGATGCAGGTGAGCGACACAGGCTCTTTAGAGCCTCTAATAGATTCCCAGTGAGTATACACAAAACTATATACTTTTCATTGTTATACTTTCTGTTGAAACATATCCTAGTGAAGAAAGTGCCAATATTATCCCTTTTCTAGTGTAAAATTTATGTTTTTATTCCTGCCAACCACCAACCAAGCATGTGATAAAAATGGTAAACCCGTTTGCGCAAAAATAACAGTATAATTCATGACCCCTGTAGAAGATGCATACCTTTCAACTGACCCGTATTCTGCGGGTGACATTGGGCGTAAATTTCACCTATCACCTCAGGAATTTTTAACAATCTGCCAGGTCGTTAAATTACTTGGGAATTAGGAAAATGACCCTTTGCAAATATGTCATGCATATTTAAAATCCTAATGCAATTAGACATGAAAGGCCAATTTAGCTGCCATCAATTCTACTGTTGACGGTCAGAGTAATTGGCAACAATGTTTCACAATCACAGTTGACGTTTACAGGATATAATTCAAAAAAGAGTATTGCATTAGAATATGTCAATAACAGTACTGTATTTGAATAGTTGCCACTATCAATTTTGGATTTGACAGTCGTTAATATATATATCCCTTTGACTGACTATATATATATATATGTATATGCTTTACTGCTTGGTGCTCATTATTTACAGTGTCATTTACATATTTACAACCCCCTTTTTACAGACTGATATGACAATGACATCCATTGTTTCACTGTATGCTTATAACAGCAGAGAATAAATATTTGGTGCTAAAATTTAGGGCAAAATGACAAAAAAGGAGAACACAAATATCGTATTAAAGCTGAAGTATTTGGGCAGTGAGTCACTTACTGTTCTAGAGTTATTTCCCTTTATAACTTGGAAAATTACAAATTTTTTTTCTTGTCCACATGTGCACTCTTAACTAAGATTTCTCACCCGAATTTTATGAAACTCATACACAATGTTAAAAACCAAAACTTACAGACAAAGTTCGAATTTGGGTTGTGAGAAGGATTCTAGAGTTATGCCCCATTATAACTTGGAAAATTGCAATTTTTTTCTCTTCTGCTCTCTAACCTAAGGTTTTCTCATCCAAATTGTATGAAAATCATACACAATGCTAAAAACCAAACCTCACAGACAAATTATGAATTTGTGTTGTGAGAAGGATTCTAAAGTTATGACCCTTTATAACTTGGAAAGTTGCAAATTTTTTTGTTTCCTCACTAACTTAAGTTTGTCTCATCCAAATATTTATTAATGTCATTTAGAATAAGCGACGCCATGTGTGTTATGTGCCTCTGCCGTCTAAACTACCTATGTAAAAGGAAGAGGTAGAAGAGAGTCAGAAGATCTTCCCAATGCAAAAAAAACAGAGATGGAACTCTTCTGGCTCACTACCGAAGAACAAAAAAAACACGCCCCATGTGACCATAAAAGGCAGGTTTGGCTATCACCAACATGGTTTTCCTCTGGAAATTCACATCTGACCACATTTCTCGGGCTTGGATTTTTCCTCTTGTCACTGGATCTCGCTTATAAGTCAGTACCCCCTCTGGAAACTGAATTTTACTCCTAAACATCTGAATTATACTCGAGTCCCTACGGTATGTCAAAACTGTCAAATAACTTTTTATAGGAGTTATTACCCTTAAAAGACAAATTTACCATTTTTTTCCATTTTTACCTAATATCTTGAAAATTATAATTGATAGAGAGAAACTTGTAATAGCAAAAATGATCAGCAAGACCAGATCTACAAATAAGTCAACAGAGCTGAAATTGTCTGACAACTCTGTATTAGAGTTATTGCTGTTGATTTTTACCAATTGTTTGCATTTGTGCCTAATATCTTGAAAACTGTAATAGATAGATAGAAATTTTAAACATCAAAAATGATCAGCAAGGCAATATCTACAAATAAGTCATATGGCCAATTTCTCCGCCAACTCTTAATTGGAGTTATTGTCCTTTAATGACAATTTTTAACAATATTGAGTGTTTTGCCTATTATCTTGAAAGCTATAATTACGATAGGTAGATATTTTAAATAACAAAAATGATCAGCAAGACAAGATCTACAACTAAGTAAATAGGGCTGAAATCGTCAATCCACTTATTATTGTGTTATTGCTATTTACTGACAAGACTTGCCAATTTTTGCCTTTTATCTTTAAAACTAGAAAAGATCATGAAGATAGATAAAAAATTTGAATAACAAATATGATCAGCAACACAAGATCAACAAACAAGTCAAATTTTGCCGAAATAGTTAGCAGACTCTTTATAGGAGAGATTGCCCTGTTTTTACACTCTTTTGTGTTTTAGGAAAAAAGTAAAAAAAATAAAGGAAAACTGTAGACAGAATAAATGATCAGCAATACAATATCAACAACAAAGATATTGTTGTCATTAATTTTACTTTGGTCTAGATTTTGGAGAGTGTCCATTGTTGAAAATGCAAATAGACCTAGTTGAGCGACACAGGCTCTTAAGAGCCTATAGTTTTTCCGTTAACATTTAGATACAATCTGGGCTTAAACTTTTTTTTTTAAACCTAAATATAATTTTGTAAAACCTTCATTGAATATGTAGATTTTGATTTTTTTTTTAATTTTTCTTGTGTTTTTTGCTGATAAATGGACAAAGTTTTTGACAATGAACATTACACTTTTACACTGACAGCAGTAATTGTAAGTGAGACAGACACAAGGTTTGGCAAATCCCTTTACAAATTTTTCTTTTGTTTTTGCTCTTATTATTTTTATTATCTGATGTATTTTCCAGATGTTCCAGATTCTAAAACTTTTGATGTGACTCTGATGACAACATTACTGTATAACTTGACTCCTATGACTCCTCCGTTGTGTGGATTTGACCGTTTACCTACTGCCATGGAAACCACACAAGCTTCAGATTTAGCAAGAATCAAGTACTACAGGAATAACCTAGCTCATCTAGATGATGGCAAAATAGATATTAATTTCTTCAACATGGCATGGGATGATGTAACTAGTGTATGTACATCAATTTTCCTTTCATTGATTCAAGGTTACCTTGTAGAAGCCATTTGAAACAACATTACAAGAAATCCAAAATTAAATTAATGCAAGAACTGGTAGAGGACATTTTAGCGAAAAAAATTGGAAGTTTTAGCGCCAAAGTATAACCCATTTTAGCGAAAAGTGAAATTATCATTGCTCATTTTAGCAACAGAAAATAGTTCGTTATAGAACAATTAATTTTGATGTTTGGACTAGATAGAATCAAGACAGCACAATATAAAAAATACCATGTCCATTAAAATACAGCACAATATAAAAAATACCATGTCCATTAAAATACAGCACTAAAAGTCTAAAAGGTTTAAAACTCAAATGTTGCAAGTCCTTCATAGCCTGGAACCTACATAATGGGCTCTTTATGTACTCCCTGTACAATACTGTACTATACTTCTTATTTTGATGTTGCTGTATTCAATTTGATTAAAGTATCCATGCTATTTCCTAGTCTTTCAATGTTGTGTCTATCCTATGCTGGTAGCAGCATCACATATTATAATTTTCTATCCTCTGTTTGTTTCAACAGCATTCATTTCCATGATTTTCCAAAATGTAATAACAAGCAACTAAAATATAAAGCAAGCATAAATTACTGTTCATGGTTTTAAGATTGCGAGTAGTTTTCAGACAATAAAGTTTCTCGCTAAAATGGCTATAAAAAATACAGGTGAAAGGATTTATCCTGCGCTAAATTGGGCTCTAATGTTTGGGTCCCGGTAAAGTGAGAAACGGAACAGAAACGAAACAGAGCGAAACGAAACATGGCGAAACGAAACAAAACACAGCGAAACGAAACGAAACACGACGAAACGAAACGAAACATGTAAATTGAGAAACGAAACACAACGAAACGAAACAAAATCTGTATTTTGAGGAACGACCTATAGAAAATCTTCCTGACATAGCCGAAGATCAATGTGGGTTTAGAGACCCTTTTGATTGATATCATCTAATCGTTTGCTAAAAATTGGTCAAAAATCAACATTGGTGGTATGATTATCTTTTTGGACAATTATGCCTCCCCCTTTCCTTAAACTCTGGATCTGTCTCTGCTTTTTTTTTATATATGTATACAAAAGATCTCGTTTAATCCAAAGAGAACGTGTGATTAACGGTTTATTCGAACACACATTACACACTGGGATTAACTTCACTGATTGCCGCACTAGAAAGAACGCATTACATACCAGTTCTATTGTGCTTTGTATTTTTCTATGCTTTATAGTCCCACACATTGTTATTATTAATAATATTATGATATATTAGTATGTATAACTTTTCATTCGATCACGTCTGTTAATATCATTGTATATGCAATAATCTGCAATAGGTTTTTATACGAACGCAAAAAAATTTTGTGGTCGTATATTGGTATGACGTTGGCGTCGTCGTCGTCGTCGTCGTCGTCGTCGTCGTCGTCCGAAGACACATTGGTTTTTGCACTCTAACTTTAGTTTAAGTGAATGGATCTTTTTGAAATTTGACCATAAGGTTAAATACCACAAAAGGAAGGTGGGGATTGATTTTGGGGGTTATGGTTCCAACAGTTAAGGAATTAGGGGCCAAAAAGGGGCCAAAAATAAGCATTTTCTAGTTTCCAGACATGAACTGTGGAACGGTGTATGGATCTCTCTGAAATTATACTACAAGTTTCCATACCACAAAGGGATGGTAAAAATTTGCTTTGGGGGGTTATGGCTCAAACCGTTTAGGAATTAGGGGCAAAAAAGGGGGAAAAACAAGGTTGTCCTGGTTAATGGACAAATACTTTAGTATAAAACATAATTTAAAGCAGTGTAAGGGAGATAAATCAAATACATCATTGAAATTATCTCCCTTACACTGCTTTTAAATTATGTATAAAGTAATGGTTAATGAACAATAAAGATAATTTAAAACAGTGTAAGGGAGGTAATCCAAATACAACGTTTTGGTTACTTACCTTACACTGCTTTTAAATTATGTTTAAAGAAATGCATATTTATAAAGGAAGACCAGTAAAAATATCTGCAAATGTTGCATCTTATTTTTTACAAAAAAATCCATATGAAAGATTTGACACTATATTTTTAATTCTATTATAAAATAGATTAAGTTAGCACTATGGTAAATTTAAATGGGTAATTATGGTTGCCAACCCCATTGGAAATTTGAATTGAGATTATGACCATATCTTGGGGGAAAGAATTTTTTGGGGGAAAAAAGGGGGGGGGGGATAAAAAGAAATTGTGGGGGGTCAATTTTTTCTCATTTCAGATTTCAGAAATTAAAAAGAATTATTCTTCAAATATTATTTTTTTTTCAAATTTCAAATATTGAAAAATTTCAAGAAGTAATCTTTAATTGCACAGTATGGCGCATTAGATTTGTAAAATCTTTGATCACATTTATTTATTTGTTATGCCGAATCTAACAGTGTATTTAGATTTTTAATTTTGGGTCCAGTTTTCAAATTGGTCTACATTAAGGTCCAAAGGGTCCAAAATTAAACTTTGCTTGATTTTAGCAAAAATTGAATATATGAGGTTCTTTGATATGCTGAATCTAAACATGTATTTAGATTTTTGATTTTTGACCCAGTTTTCAAGTTGGTCCAAATTGGGGTCCAAAATTAAACTTTGTTTGATTTCAACAAAAATTTAATATATGGGGTTCTTTGATATGCTGAATCTAACCATGTATTTAGATTTTTTATTTGTGGACCCCGTTATCAAATTGGTTCATATTGAGGTCAAAAGGGTCCAAAATTAAACTTTGTTTGATTTCATCTGAAATTGAATTATTGGGGTTCTTTGATATTCCAAATCAAACCGTGTATTTAGATTTTTAATTTTGGGTCCTGTTTTTTAAATTGGTCTACATTAAGGTCCAAAGGGTCCAAAATTAAACTTAGTTTGATTTTAACAAAAATTGAATTCTTGGGGTTCTTTGATATGCTGAATCTAAACATGTGTTTAGATTTTTGATTATGGGCCCAGTTTTCAAGTTGGTCCAAGATAGGGTCCAGTATTTAAACTTTGTTTGATTTCAACAAAAATTGAATATATGGGGTTCTTTGATATGCTGAATCTAAACATGTATTTAGATTTTTATACGAACGCAAAAATTAAAAATTTTTTGGTCGTATATTGGTATGACGTTGGCGTCGTCCGAAGACACATTGGTTTTCGCACTCTAACTTTAGTTTAAGTGAATTGATCTCCATGAAATTTCACCATAAGGTTCAATACCACGAAAGGAAGGTTGGGATTGATTTTGGGGGTTATGGTACCAACAGTTAAGGAATTAGGGGCCAAAAAGGGGCCAAAAATAAGCATTTTTGTAACTTCCAGACAATAACTTGTGTGTAAGTGTATGGATCTCTCTGACATTGTACCACAAGGTTCCATATCACAAAGGGAAGGCTGTAATTGATTTTGGGGGTAATTGCCTCAAAATTTTAGGAATTAGGGGCCAAAAAAGGGGCAAAAAACAAGCATTTTTCTAGTTTCATGACAATAACTTGTGTGTAAGTGTTTGGATATTTCTGAAATTGTACTACAAGGTTCCATATCACAAAGGGAAAGCTGGAATTGAGTTTGGGGGTAATTGCCCGAAACGTTTAGGAATTTGGGGCCAAAAAGGGGCCAAAAATAAGCATTTTTCTAGTTTCCAGACAATAACTTGTGTTCAAGTGTATGGATCTCTCTGAAATTGTACTGCAAGGTACCATACCACAAAGGGAAGGCTGGGATTGAGTTTGGGGGTGATGAATCATAAGGGGGTTCAAAAAATTTGGGGGGGGGATTTTTTTTTTTCTTTTTTTTTCTTTTTTTCCTTTTTTTTTTTTCTTTAAAATTTTCCATTTTAAGTTGGTTATTTCTGATTTATATTTAAAAGCAAATAATAATGATATGGTAGGAGATACACACCAAACAGGATGTGTAAATAATTATATAATAAGTATTGTGCAATAGCAAGAAATTTTCAATTGCACAGTATTGCACAATAGCAAGAAATCTTCAATTGCACAGTATTGCGCAATAGCAAGAAATCTTCAATTGCACAGTATTGCGCAATAGCAAGAAATATCCAATAGCACAATATTGCGCAATAGCAAGAAGTTGTCAATTGTACAGTATTGCGCAATAGCAAGAAATATTCAATTGCACAGTATTGTGCAAAAGAAGGTACTTCGTATAAATTGCTTATTTCTTGATCAATTTCAATGGGGTTTATTCTTGAATTCTTGGGGTTCTTTAATATGCTGAATCTAACCGTGTATTAAGTTTTTGGATTTGGGCCCCGTTTTTAAATTGGTTCAGATTGAGGTCCAAAGGGTCCAAAATTTAACTTTGTTTGATTTCATCAATTGAATTATTGGGGTTCTTTGATATGCCGAATCTAACCGTGTATTTAGATTCTTAATTTTTGGTTCCGTTTTCAAATTGGTCTACATTAAGGTCCAAAGGGTCCAAAATTAAACTTAGTTTGATTTGAACAAAAATTGAATTTTTAGGGTTCTTTGATATGCTGAATCTAAACATGTATTTAGATTTTTGATTGTTGGCCCAGTTTTCAAGTTGGTCCAAATTGGGGTCAAAAATTAAACTTTGTTTGATTTCAACAAAAATTGAATATATGAGGTTCTTTGATATGCTGAATCTAACCATGTATTTAGATTTTTTATTTGTGGGCCCCGCTATCAAATTGGTTCATATTGAGGTCAAAAGGGTCCAAAATTAAACTTTGTTTGATTTCATCAAAAATTGAATTATTGGGGTTCTTTGATATGCCAAATCTAACCGTGTTTTTAGATTTTTAATTTGGGTTCCGTTTTTTAAATTGGTCTTCATTGAGGTCCAAAGGGTCCAAAATTAAACTTTGCTTGATTTTAACAAAAATTGAATTCTTGGGGTTCTTTGATATGCTGAATCTAAACATGTGTTTAGATTTTTGATTATGGGCCCAGTTTTCAAGTTGGTCTAAGATAGGGTCCAGTATTTAAACTTTTGTTTGATTTCAACAAAAATTGAATATATGGGGTTCTTTGATATGCTGAATCTAAACATGTATTTAGATTTTTTATTTGTGGGCCCCCCTATCAAATTGGTTCATATTGAGGTCAAAAGGGTCCAAAATTAAACTTTGTTTGATTTCATCAAAAATTGAATTATTGGGGTTCTCTGATATGCCAAATCTAACCGTGTATTTAGATTTTTAATTTTAAGTCCCGTTTTTTAAATTGGTCTACATTAAGGTCCAAAGGGTCCAAAATTAAACTTAGTTTGATTTTGGCAAAAATTGAAATCTTGGGGTTCTTTGATATGCTGAATCTAAACATGTGTTTAGATTTTTGATTATGGGCCCAGTTTTCAAGTTTGTCCAAGTTGGGGTCCAAAATTAAACTTTGTTTGATTTTTGGCAAAAATTGAATATATATGGGTTTTTTTGATATGCTGAATCTAACCATGTATTTTGATTTTGGACATTGGACCATAATAGGTAAATTAAAAAAATTCAAGTTCTTAGACCACATTCTTTCTGTGTCAGAAACCTATGCTGTGTCAAATATTTAATAACAATCCAAATTCAGAGCTGTATCAAGCTTGAATGTTGTGTCCATAATTGCCCCAACTGTTCAGGGTTCGACCTCTGCGGTCGTATCAAGCTGCGCCCCAGCGAAGCATTTTATTATCATTTATTGTTTATGAGTTTGTGCCAAGAAAGGTATTTGATTCATGAATGAAACACTCACATGTACGTATCCCAAGTGAAATAACCATAGCCAAAATATGTAAATGGTATGGACACTTTGCCATACATAACTTTAGGTAGTATGATCCAAATGTTCAAGTTGGATGCATTTACCCTATTTGTGGCTACAACATTGTCAAGTCCGACCTTGGACGTCAAAAGGGGGGGGGGGGGGGAGATTGACCACGTTGCGACCAGACGTCTCTTTTGAAAGTACATGTGACCTTTAAAATGTTTAAACCGAGAATCAAATCAGTTTAGAACTGAATAGTTTGCTTAAAAGTGACCTGGTGACCCGAGGCATTTTTTAATCGTGACCTTGTGATCTAAAGTGGTACTGGAGCACAGTCACTTTTCTCCTTTTATTCATACAATATTGTATGTTCGACTCGTCATGTTCTACTTTCTTTTTTAAACTTACGGTACGGAATATTGTGTTTTGTTATTCGCCATTTATCTTGACAGACGCGTGTTACTAGGTATAGTATCTACCACATTTTCAAAAGATAAGCTACGAAGTACATACGGCATCTCCATACAATTGAAGTCGATGGTACCTGTTGTAAGTAGTTTAAAAGGTTAATATGAATTGAACTTGTATTAAACGAGATTATGTCTTGCCTGATTTGCAACAAAATGAAAGAAGAAGAATGTCATCATGGTCATGGACTGCCATAATAAAAAATCTTTGAAACTTAAAAACAAAGAAGAAACGAATACAAACTAGAATATGTTATAGTGACGAATTAGAAATAGACATATTGTTTAGACACCTATCTATTGTTGAAATTATACTATATGTTGCCTTCTAGATGTCCTTAGTTTGTTCTTGTCGTTTGGTTGCTGTCTTATTGACGTGTAACCTACATTTCATACAGTTTTAGTTCCGTTGAGTGTACTTTTGAATCGGTGCATGAAAAATCATAACTAAACTGGTTATTGTGTATAGATTAATTATCTTTCTTTCCCTCAATAATTCTAGGAAGATGAACCAAAGAGAGATGTACACAGACACTTGTTTCTATAAATATATAATACATATGAATAGTCGACCTTCCCACGTGGAGATGTACCTAAATTAAAACTATCAATATGTAAACAGAAAATAATGTTACACTTTTCAATCTTTAACTTCCCCTCCCTCCATTTTTTTTACTGTATCAATTTTAAAGACATGTCGCTTCTAAACAAAATCTGATTGATCTGTAGCTTATCCCCCAAACCTGCTTTGATACAAACTTGAATATGTTCCCCATTAAATTCGATCCCAAAACTTAAAAGGCATACATATCTAAATAGTCGTAATTAATTCCATTGAGCACGAAACTATAATCCAAATCAGATTTTATTTATTTGGATATTCTAAAATACATTTCTTTTTCGGCAGAAATTACAAAAAAAATTATTATTATCTGGTTTGACTGGGAAACACTGATTTCAGATGTACATTGTACACAAAATATTATAAAATATTTTATGTCCCACCCTTTGAGTGGAAAACATATCATGTTTTAGCATAAAATCGTCTATTTTGGAGTGAAAAAAATTGGATGATTTAAATAAATTAGATGTTTTTGATGGTCTTTTGGATTCTGTTGACAGTTTTGACTTTTCTTCTCTAACTAAATGGTCATTTGGTAGATCTGAATTCGAATTTTCTACTCTTTACACTACACCTCCACACAATCTTATCTAAGAAAAGTTTTCTTATTTAATTAAATGGTCGTTTGGTAAATCTGAATGCAAATATATTTGCTGCAATTCAGTTAAAGCCTTCTTCTCTAATGTGAAAGGTAAATATGCTAGATATACTTACTGGAGGTGGGATGAGATGATTGAAGCTGTTAATTTCCCCTTGATATTATTTATGTACGTTTTGGCAACAATGTTTATCGACAGGTTGTAGGTATTCCAATGGGAACTAATTGCGCCCCTTTAATAGCAGACTTGTTTTTGTACTGTTATGAATCATAGTTTATGACCACACTAAGTAAAGACCCATCAAAATTGCCTTTAACTGATAAATTCAACAACACTTACCTTTATCTTGATGATATTTTTTCGTTAAAAAGTCAAGAATTTTCTAATTAACTGCCGAAATTTACGACAAAAGGGACGATTTTTCGTTCCCGATTGTTATTTTTCCCTTTTTGGATGGTGATGTTCCATTGGCACCATCTTATGGTGTTTGAATTTCACAACTCGTTCGCTATGCCCGTGTCTGTTGTGACGTTTTTGATTTTAACGAACGTAATCTATGTATTACTGGTAAATTATTAAGCCAGGGATTTCGTTACCACAAATTACTTAAAACCTTTACTAAATTCTTCCATAGATATAAAGATTTGGTTTTGAAGTTCAAATGGTATAGCACATCCTCATCTTTATGGAAATGTTGTTTACCGTGCCCGGAAATTTAGAAACGATCCTGGTAAACTTGTCGATCCGTGAAATAATCTTATTCTAAAAGGTTACCAATTCAACACTGTAATTAGATCATTGAAAATTGTTTTATTGGAATCAATATTTATTTTGTTGTCAGTAAATTAAAAGCAAACTAAATATTATTGTTACATAATTCATATACAAATTCATGGATCTACAATCTGTCGATACCTGTATCATGGCATTACACAAGGTCGTGTTTTTCCTCTGACTGTTTATGACGTCTGTACACTAAATCCATTGGATGTTGGATGTGTACAGATTGATAATTAAGTCTTAGATGCATGATTTTTTTATTACTTGTTAGTGGCTTTGAACTAGCTGTCAGTAACTTCGAGTACTCTCAGATCAGTACTTAGTGTCTTTTTGTTGTTGGGATATACAAGTACCTGGCCACGTCCACTCTGTGTTTTTGTTAGATGTATGTTATTTGTATCCATCTGATAAGTTAAGCCTTTTTCAACTGATTTTTATAGTTTGTTCTTATGTTGTACTGTTACACCACTGTCCCAGGTTAGGGGGGGAGGGGGATCCCGCTAACATGTTTAACCCCGCCACATTCTGTATGAATGTGCCTGTCCCAAGTCAGGAGCCAGCTGTAATTCAGTGGTTGTCAATTGTTGAAGTGTTACATATTTGTTTTTCGTTCATTTTTTGTATATCAATTAGGCCGTTAGTTTTCTCGTTTGAATTGTTTTACATTTGTACGTCATTTCGGGGCCTTTTATAGCTGACTATGCGATATGGGCTTTGCTTATTGTTGAAGGCAGTACGGTGACCTATATTTGTTAATTACTATGTGATTTGGTCATTTGTGGAGAGTTGCCTCATTGGCAATCATATCACATCTTCTTTTTTATATTCGCTACATGTACACTCGGTGATATTTTTAAAATTTTATATGGAATTACACTCCTTTCAAAATCGAGGGTCCGCCCCTAAAGGTAAGAGTACTTTTGAACTGTGCAGTATATCTGAGGTAGTAAATGCACACCTTTGCTGTGCATTATCCAGATTATAGCACAGTAAGAACAAAGAGATTTTACTCATGTCATGTGTTAAGTATCCATAGGACAGTATGACTCGCTTAAAATATCAAATTTTCATGTTCATTGAATCGCAAATTATGGTTCAAATTCCTAATTTGGCATACATTTCAAAAAGAACATGTCATAATGAACATGTGTATAGTTTCAAGTTGACATGAACACAACTCCATTGTAATTTAATCTATCTTAACAAACAGAATAAACCTAGTATCGGACGGACGGACTGACGGACGGCAGCACAGACCAGAAAAGATTATGCCCCACTACCGTAGGCGGTACATAAAAATCCTAGTCACAAAGGTAAGAATGGCCAATTTTGTTTGAGGCTGATATTCAGATGATCCCCAGTAACAGCCATTCTAATTTCAATGTTCCCTCATTGTTGCACGTGACAAGTACCCTTGATATTAGAACAGGCTCTGTAGCACAGCTGACGCACCTCAGCCTCACATTTAACAAAACAAGTTGACTAATTGCAACTAATGCACGATGATACCAATGTAAATGACGAGTAATTTTTTCAAAGTTGAATGGAATATTCGGTGTCTTCGGCTATGCACATATCTCGTCAGGAAGATTTTCTATATGTTGTTCCTCAAAATACAGATTTTGTTTTGTTTCGTAGTGTTTCGTTTCTCAATTTACATGTTTCGTTTCGTTTCGTCGTGTTTCGTTTCGTTTCGCTGTGTTTCGTTTCGTTTCGCCATGTTTCGTTTCATTTCGCTCTGTTTCATTTCTGTTCCGTTTCTCACTTTACCGGGCCCCCTAATGTTTGCGCTAAAATGTCCATTAGTAGTTCAAAATTTTTTGCTAAAATGTACTGCACCCCATAAATATTTTACCATTTCAGATTATCAAATTAAATGCATTCTGGTTAATATTTTCATGTCATCATCACTTAAAATACAAAATTTTGCTGAGTTAAAAAAAAAATATTTTAAGGACTGCTTTGGCCTTTGGTCCGAAATGGTATTTTATTTCTATATTTATATTAAGGTTACTTTAGATTTTATGTCCAAGAAATATTAACCCCCCATATACACAACATATTGGGAAGTGCTTATTACTACAAAACACAGATCAAGTTTGAATTTTGGTGGCGTCACTTTTACCATTCTAGAGTTATGCCCTTTACAAATGGAAAAATTGCTGAATTTTTCGTTTCCGTTCTCTAACTTAAGTTTGCCTCAACCAAATTATATGACACTTATACACAATGCTTATTACCACAATACACAGATCCCAACTACTTTATCACTAGCCAGTCAACACTGAGGTTGTGAGTTCGAATCCCGCACAGGGCAGGTGCACTTGACTCCAATCTTAATTGACTAGGTTTGTCAGTTTTCCTACCGAAGTTCGGTGGTTCTCTCTGGGCACTCTGGCTTCCTCCACCAATAAAAACTGACAGCCAGGAAATAGCACAATAGTGTTGAAAGTGGCGTTAAACACCAATCAATCAATACACAGATCAAGTGTGAATTTTCGTGGCATCACTTTTACCGTTCTAGAGTTAATTTGGTTTCCATTCAGAAATTGGTTATTGTTCTCTAACTTAAGTTTGCATCAACCAAATGTTATAAAACTTATACACATTTGCTTATTACCACAAAACTCAGATCAAGTACAAATTTGGGTAGTGTCACTTTTACCGTTCTTGAGTTATGTCCCTTTATAACATTATATGCAAGCGGGGGGATCATCTGTGTCCCATGGACACATTCCCCATTTATTTTATTTTGATGAAGCGAACTCCTTTAAAAACTAAGCTTATATTGTCTATTAATAAACATGTATATAGATTTTTTAATTTGGGCACAGTTTTCAAGTTGGTCCAAAATTAAACTGTGTTTGATTTCAACATAAATTGAATATATATAGCGTTCTTTGAAATGCTGAATGTTAACCTGTATTTAAATTTTTTTGATTTTGGGCCCAGTTTTCAAGTTGGTCCAAATCAGGGTGCAAAATTAAACTTTTGTTTGATTTCATCAAAATTGAACTCTTGGGGTTCTTTGATTTTAGATATTGGACCATGTTCAATTTTATTTTTTTCAGTCCTTAATCAAATTCATTTTGTGTCACAAGCCTATGCTGTGTCAAATATTAAATCATAATCCAAATTCAGAGCTGTTTTTAGCTTAAATGTTGTGTCCATACTTGCCCTAACTGTTCAGGGTTTGACATCTGTGGTCGTATCAAACTGCGCCCAGCGGAGCATTTTATTACTTAATGTTTCACTCAATAGAAGATGTCAAATCACTTAGGTATGCTGTAATGGTGCAATTTTCTGAAATGGAAGGAGGGATTAAATGCAAAGTGTGGTGTTAAATATACTGTGTGGAATAATTTATTGTTTTTGGTATCAATTTTCTGGTAGGTTTCATCTGACCTTGACCTCATTTTCATGGTTCATTGGTCATTGTTAATTTTTTGTGTTTTGGTTTGTTTTTCAAGTACTGTAAGCAATAGTCAAGTATATTTGGTGTATGGAATGATTGTAAGGTGTACATGTCTGCCTAGCTGGTGTCATCTGACCTTGACCTTATTTTAATGGTTCATAGGTCAATGTTAAGTTTTTGTGTTTTGGTCTGTTTTTCAAGTACTATAAGCAATAGGTCAACTATCTTTGGTTTATGGAATGATTGTAATGTGTACATGTCTGTCTAGCCGGTGTCATCTGACCTTGACCTCATTTTCATGGTTCATATTGGTCAATGTTAAGTTTTTGTGTTTTGGCCTGTTTTTCAAATACTAATAGCAATAGGTCAACTGTCATTGGTGTATGGAATGATTGTAAGGTGTACATGTCTGTATAGCCAGTATCATCTGACCTTGACCTCATTTACATGGTTCATTGGTTAAGATTGAGTTTTTGTGTTTTGGTCTGTTTTTTCAATTACCATAAGCAATGGGTCAACTATATTTGGTGTATGGAATAATTGTAAGGTGTACATGTCTGTGTGACAGTTTTTATCTGACCTTGACCTCATTGTCATTGATCTTTATAAATGTTAAGTTTATGTGATACTTGTAGTAAAACCTTTATCTTTAAGACTTTCAACATAAAATCAATGGTCAGTTAAACAGGCGAGACATTTCAGCATGTGCACTCTTGTTAAATGAATACAGGTATTGTAAGAGTTATACAAACTCCCTTTTCAACCTGCAAGTTTTATTTAAGTCATTGAAAATGGGGAAAGGGGGAATATCTCATACAATAACTGCAATAATCATGATTATATACATATTGGGTGCAACTATACATTATATATATTATTAAAAGTGAAGTATCACTATATTTTTCAGGCCATTGTAAGATTAGGTGGGCAGCTAATGAAACAGGAGTGTGATCATATGAAAACCAAACAATTAGATCAAACCAACCAAGAAATAATGATGGACATCAAACATTCTAATAATGAAATCCAGGAGCTAAAAGAATCACTTGAAAGTCTGAAGCAGTCACATACTGAAATGATAAAATCTCATGAATTACTACAAGAAAACCATGCGGTTGTGACAAAAGAAATAGAAGAAATAAAGATCTCTCAGAATGACACTGTTCCTTGGAATATAAGAGGTAAACTGTTGGGAGGCACATCTATTCCTTTAATATATTAGGAGATCATACTTTAAATTAATTCCTTGGAATGTATTTTACCATCCTTTTATTCATGATAAGTGGATTATTTGGCTAGTGGTTAAAGAGGGAGGTTGAGTTAATAGTTTTGGATATATATAATATGCTAGCAACGGAGGTCAGATCAGTAATATGGGATGTTAGAGGTCTATAATGGGAGGTCAACTTGATACTTTGGTTAATGAGGTCAAAACAAGGAGGTGAAGTTGACAGGGTGGAATGTCAGATCTATGCTTACACAGGGAGATCAGGTTAAATATTGAAGAATTATTTTTGGTTTAATTGTCATTACTGTTTAGAAAATTAGGGGCCAAAAACAAGCATTTTTCTTGTGTCCGGACAATAACTTGTGTATAAGTCTATGGATCTCTATGAAATTGTACCACAAGGTTCCATACACAAAAAGGAAGATTGGGATTGATTTTAAAGGTTGTGGCCTTGACATTTTAAGTAAATGGAGCCAAAAACAATACTTTTCTAATACTTTGTATAGATTGCTTATTTCTTCACCAATTTCAATGGGGTTTAGTTCAAAGTTCAAAGTCTTGAATTCTTGGGGTTCTTTAATATGATGAATCTAACTGTGTATTTAGATTTTTGATTTTGGACCCCTTATTAAATAAGTCAAAATTGGGGTCCAAAGGGTCCAAAATTTTAACTGTTTTTGATTTCATCAAAAATAAATTATTTGGGTTCTTTTATGTGGTGAATCTGACGTGCATTCAGATTTTTAATATTGGGGACTGTTTTCCAATTAGTCCACTATAAGGTCCACAGTGTCGAAAAAATTAAACTTTGTTTGATTTCAGCAAAAATTGAGTTCTTGGTGTTCTTTGATATGCTAAATATAGCTGTATTTAGATTTTTGATTTTGGGCCCTGTTTTCAAATGTGTCAAGCTCCAAAGGGTCCAAAGTAAAACTAAGAGGTTTGATTTTACAGCAGAATGCATTGTGTGTGTAGGTAAAGGTAATATCTTTGGTTAGCTTGCTTGCTAGCTGAACCGTGAAGTCATTATTAGGTTAGGTAAACTACCCTTCTTTAAGAGTAGACTAGTCCGACAGATAACCAATCTATCTGTCTGTAGGACTAAACTACTCCGAAAGGAGGGTAGTATACCTGATCTAATAACGACTTCACGGTTCAGCTAACAAGCAAGGTAACCAAAGATTCTACCTTTACCTACACACTCAATGCATTCTGCTGTAACAAAAAATGAATTCTTGGGGTTCTATGATATGCTGAATCTTAATATGTATATCGATTTTTTGTCGAGCCTGCGACTTTTGTCGCAGAAAGCTCGACATAGGGATAGTGATCCGGCGGCGGCTTTAGCTAACTTCTTAAAAGCTTTTTATTTTAGAAGGTGGAAGATCTGGATGCTTCATACTTTGTATATGGATGCCTATTGTTACGAAGTTTCCGTCAGTCACATGTCAAATGTCCTTGACCTCATTTTCATGGTTCAGTGACTACTTGAAAAAAAAGTTAAGCTTTTGCAATGTTAAATTCTCTCTTATCATAAGTAATAGGATATCTATATTTGGTATGTGCGTACCTTGCAAGGTCCTCATGCCCGTCAGACAATTTTCACTTGACCTCGATCTCATTTCATGGATCAGTGAACAAGGTTAAGTTTTGGTGGTCAAGTCCATATCTCAGATACTATAAGCAATAGGTCAAGTATATTCGGTGTATGGAAGGACTGTAAGGTGTACATGTCCAACTGGCAGGTGTCATCTGACCTTGACCTCATTTTCATGGTTCAGTGGTTATAGTTAAGTTTTTGTGTTTTGGTCTGTTTTTCTTATACTGTATGCAGTAGGTCTACTATATTTGGTGTATGGAATGATTGTAAGGTGTACATGTCTAGCTGGTAGGTGTCATCTGACCTTGACCTCATTTTCATGGTTCAGTGGTCAAAGTTAAGTTTTCGAGTTTTGGTCTTTTTTTCTAATACTATATGCAAAAGTTCAACTATATTTGGTGTATGGAATATTTTATGATCTATATGTCAGTCACGCAGGTTTTATTTGACCTTGACCTCATTTGCAAGGTTCATTGTTCACTGTTAAGTTTTTGTGTTTTGGTCTGTTTTTCTTAATATATAAGCAATAGGTCAACTATATTTGTTGTATGGAAGAATTGTTAGCTGAACATGCCTGCCTAGCATGGTTCATCTGACCTTGACCTCATTTTCATGGTTCATTGGTCAATGTTTTGTTTACTTGGTTAATGTTAAGTTTATGTAACAGTTGTAATAAAGCTTTATATTTAGGACTATCAACATAATATCAATGATTAGTAAAGAAGGCGAGACATTTCAGCGTGTGCACTCTTGTTATTTTTAGCGAAGTTTCCAAATTGGTCCAAATCTGGGTTCAAAATCATGTATGTTTGATTTCAACAAAAAAAATGTATGGGGTTACTTGATATGCTGAATCTAACCCTGTATTAAGATTTTGGAGTTTACGCCCCATTGTCAAATTGGTCCACATTTAGGTTCAAAGGGTCCAAAATGAAACTTTGTTTGATTTTATCAAAAATTGAATTATTTTGTTTTTTTAGCTCACCGGGGCCCAAAGGGCCCCATGTGAGCTTATGCCATCACTTGGCGTCCGTCATCGTCCGTCGTCTGTCGTCTTAAACTATTTCAAAAATCTTCTCCTCTGAAACTACTGGTCCAAATACCTTCAAACTTTAACTAAATGTTCCTTAGGGTGTCTTGTTTATAAATTGTATCCGAAGTTTGTATCCATCGACAAACATGGCCGCCATGGCTAAAAATAGAACATAGGGGTCAAATGCAGTTTTTGGCTTATATCTCAAAAACTAAAGCTTTTAGAGCAAATCTGACATGGGGGTAAAATTGTTCAATTGGTCAAGATCTATCAGCTCTGAAATTTTCAGACGAATAGAACAACCCATTGTTGGGTTGCTGCCAACGAATTGGTAGTTTTAACAAAATTTTTGCAGTTTTTTGTTATTATTTTGAATATTATTATAGATATATATAAACTGTAAGCAGCAATAATGTTCAGCAAAGTAAGATCTACAAAAAAGCTTATATGACCATAATTGTCAATTGACCCCTTAAGGAGTTATTGCCCTTTAACGACAATTTTACACAATTTGTTCATCAAGTTTGATAACATTTGAAATCTTCTGCTCTGAAATACAGGTGAGCGATTCAGGCTCTTGAGAGCCTCTTGTTTATATGAAGATTTTAATTTGGGGGCCTGTTTTCATATTACTCCACATTAAGAACCAAAGGGTCCAAAATTAAACTTTTGTTTGATTTCAACAAAAATTGAATTATTGGTGTTCTTTGATATGCTGAATCTAACTGTATTTAGATTTTTGATTTTGGGCCCGGTTTTCAAATTGGTCCACAGTAAGGTCCAAAGGGTCCAAAACTAAACCTTGTTTGACTTTAACAAAACTTGAATTCTTGGGGTTCTTTGATATGCTGAATCTTAACATGTATTTAGATTTTTGAGTTTAGGCCAAGTTTTAAAGATGGTCCAAATCGAGGTTGAAAATTAAACTTGGTTTTATTTCAACCAAAATTGTTCTTTAATATGCTGAATCTAACCGTGTATTTGGATTTCACTTTATTCAGTTTAGGTTATTTTGGGAGAAAAACGAAAATGAAGGTGTCCAGATATTGTTTCCGTCATAGAACGGACTTTTAAGTCATAGGTTATTTTGGGAGAAAAACGAAAATGAAGGCGTCCAGATATTGTTTCCGTCATAGAACGGACTTTTAAGTCTTAGACAAGACTTCCGTTAAGGCCTACTTTTATAATTACACATATCTTTCATAAGTACTTGGGGACAGGACATTATTTTCGCGTTTTTCTGTATACTATGTCCATACATATACTATAAATAAAGTGTATTTGCTATTTACTATCAATTCCAAGTTTACTATCCACAGCGATCACTGATATATTATAAAGAGAGTCTCTATGTAATCAGGATATCAGTGACCACCGTGGATAGTGACGATAGTAAACTTGGAATTGATAGTAAATAGCAAATACGCGTTATGTATGGTATATGTATGTTCATAGTATACAGAAAAACAGTTAACACAAATATTACGAACTTTGGAAAAAAGGTAGAGGGCTAAAAAAAAATTGTCCTGTCACCAAGTACCTATGACTTTTGATACCTTTCCTGAAATTCTCCAGTCATAAAATCTTTTACAAAAATTCATCCTACAACAGTTTACATACTTTCAACCACGCTCTAAATGCCCGTGATTTCGCGGGTGTCACTGATATATTATATATATATATAGAGACTAACTCCAAGTTTACTATCCACGGTGGTCACTGATATCAGAGACATATAATATAATATATGTCTCAGCTGATATATTATATAAAGAGTCTCTATATAATATGTCAGTGACCGCCGTGGATAGAAAACTTGGAATTGGTAGTAAATAGCAAATGCACTTTATTTATAGTACATGTATGTTCATAGTATACAGCTGAAAAACAGTTAACACAAAAATTACGGACTTTGGAAAAAAGTTAGAGGTCTAAAAAAAAATTGTCCTGTTACCAAGTACCTATGACTTTTGATACCTTTCCTGAAATTCTCCAGTCATAAAATCTTTTACAAAAATTCATCCTACAACAGTTTACATACTTTCAACCACGCTCTAAATGCCCGCGATTTCGCAGGTGTGTTCTAGTAATTATTAAATTAATAGAAATTGTAAGTAGATTCATGGTCTCTATCATCAAACTGGCATATTTCAATTTATTTTCATACCTTTACCTTCTGTACTCCTGATTAAAAAACATATACAAAATTCAGAAAGGAACTCAAGAAACACCTACACTGATTTGGCCATTGACAGAAACCTTTATCTCTAATATAGACATGACCAAATCCAACTTCAGGTAGTCAAAGAAAGGCAGACACAAGAAAACACAAAAAAAAACTACTGAAACTTTCAAATGATTTTTATTTGCAGATAACATTAAATATCAGATAGAAGTAGGTACAAATATTTAAAACATCAGAACAATCAGGTTTATGCTAGGACAGTATTTTCATCCTGACTTTATATATTGTAGCGTAAACGGGTTTTTCTGTGTATGCACGGATGTTTCTTTCATATTTTGTGTCATGAAATTATACCCCCCCTAGCTCCACCGTTTACTTTACTGCTAGAGAGGGTTCGGCCTGTGCTTTCGCTCCAGGTCTTCGGACAGCATACTGACAATACCAAGAACCAATAAATTCAACTAATGACAGGCATCAGAAACCTAGAAATGACAAGAGATGACGATTCCGCCAAGCAATGTATTCGCTCATATAACAAATAACCAAGATTCATAAAACAGTTTCATATTTAATAGACAAAGACAATAAGACACAATATCGCGGTATCTCCATATGAAATTTTAATCCTAAAATTTCAATACATTTTCGAACCTCACCTTATAGCTAGGATAAAGTGGGGCGATGCATTTGCAGTGAAAAATACCCATAATAAATTATCCTAGTAAAATGAAAGTGTAGGGTCTTAGTGCTAAAAAAATGATTATAATGAATATATTCACACAGTAGAAATTTAGGCGTGACCGATTACTTAAAATATCAAGAGCTGTACACTAGTGGTCCTTAACAAAAACTAAATTCAATCAATCAAGTTCGTGACATCTCACCTTCTGAGATAAAATATAAATATACCCACTGTTTCCCACCGACTTTGTTTGACTAGAACATGAACCTCGTAATTCCATGTACCAGGGACCAAAGTCAGTCCAGTAAAAAAAAACCTTGCATTGAATCTATTCCCGTTTAATTCTCAGTCCAACCAGAGCAATGTCTGAAACACATTTTTCCATAACATTGACCAGTTCAAGACCATAAAAAAACATGCGATAATACAAAATTAAATTCCAGAGTATGGCTTGAACAATTCCGAAGATTGATGACTGTTACTCCAAAATATCCCTCAGATTAACCATCTTTCTTCAATATCGCTACCAGAATGTATCCCATTTCTTTATGAACACGAAATCATAAAATATCTACCTAGTGTACAATTCCTTTTATTTTTTGGAACGGAAATGTAAATTATGAATTTAGAAATGTTTGACTCGAAAACCAAAAAATGTATCAAATGTAAAGAAATAAATATTTAAGTCAAACATTGAAAACGAATAAAATAAAATCTAAAGAACAACTTACCAGTACAAAAGTTTTCCCCAATCTAAAGATATATTGTCCAGACGAGGTTTAAATATCCAAGTCTGGACATTGAGTCTCAAGCACGAGAAAAATGATCCCCAAGAAAAGTAAACGGACAAACCTAGTTATATATAATATCTAAAGATAGAAAAAGGGAATTTACAATGACCCATAAACGTTACAATATTCATCTTAATCAGATTAAAACATGAAAAAAGACAAAAAAGTATGTAGACATACCTTCTCAGAAATCAACCACAGGGTAAACATCTGCATATACTTATGATGCACACCAAAAGACTATAAAAGTAAATTACAATTAATTCCTTATTACTGCATACAAATCTTTACTACAGCAACCAATTGACTAAACTATGTATCTTGACATTTCTATGTCAATTATGAAATATTCCTTAATTTCTATTTCAGCAAGAATTAAAGATACACTGAAATCCTGGAAGGACAATGATGATAAGATGTTTATAAACACAACAGCTGCCCGGTATATACTCAAATCTATACAGGAAAACAGTTGTGTAACTATTACTGCTAGTTCTGGTGTAGGAAAAACATACACTTTTCGACATACAGCTTTACAATTGGCAGAAGAAGAGTATGATGTTCTTCTTGTGACAAAGCCGAGTGACGTTTTGAGGTTTAACAATCCAAATAAGAAAACATTGTTTGTTATTGATGATTTATGTGGGAACTTTTCAGTTGATCAGAGTGACATTAAAAGTTGGGAACCAGTGATGGAGGATATAAAACAGATTCTTGATAAAAAACAAACAAAAATACTTGCAGCGTGTCGGTTACAAGTGTACCAAGATGAAAAGTTTGATTCTTTATCAGTTTTCAAGTCATGTGTATGTAACATGTTATCAGATAACATCTGTTTGTCAAAAACTGAAAAGCATTCCATAGCTAAGTTGTATCTTAAATCAAAAGCCTCTGAGATTGGTGACTATTATGATTTATATGACTGTTTTCCACTTTTATGTAAACTGTACCATGATAATCCTGAACTTACTGTTTCAGATTTCTTTCAGAATCCATTTTCAGTTTATGAAGCAGAGATTGACAAGCTTCTGAAAAAAGGGTATCACACTAAATACTGTGCTTTGGCTTTATGTGTCATGTTTAACAACATGTTGAATGAAGAAATCTTGACAGGAGAAGTGAATGAAGTAACCAAAGCTACCATCGAGAACACGTGTGAGTCATGTCAATTAGATAGAGGAACATCTAGACTTGTTTTACAAAATGAACTAAACTCACTTACACATACATTCATAAAGAAAGAACAAAACGTTTACAAGATAATACATGATAAAATATTTGACTTTTTAGCTTACTACTTTTGACAGAAAATAATCCCTTGCTTGATAAAGAACGCAGACATTGGTTTGATCAAGGAACGATTTTTATTAGAAAGAAAGGAGGACATGAACCAGTTTATTACTATTATACCACTAAAGTATCATCACCTGTACATACAGAGAATGATTGATGACTGGTCAAAGGTTAAGGTACAAGGTGTATTTAATAACATCAATATGAATATTCCTCAGTTCAGACACAAATTTCTCTCCTTTTTGAATACACTAGATATATCTTACCAGAGAAAACTGGCACAGATCTGTGATAAACGTAAACGTCAGTCACCCCTCATGATTGAGTGTGAACAAGGTCACACAGAAATAGTTAAGATGTTGTTAGACAATGGAGCAGACTGTAATAAATGTGACCGGATGGATCAGTCACCTGTAATGAAAGCTTGTTATTATGGTCATACAGAAATTGTAAACATGTTGTTAGACAAAGGAGTAAAATGTGATAAATGTGATGAATATGGTCAGTCAACTGTAATGAAGGCGTGTAAACATGGTCATACAGAAATAGTAAAGATATTGTTAGACAGAGGAGCAGACTGTAATATAAGTGACAAATGGGGACAGTCACCATTAATGGTGGCTTGTGAGCACGGTCATACAGAAACAGGAAAGGTGTTGTTAGACAGAGGAGCATACTATAATAAATGTGATGAAGATGACAATTCAACTGTAATGAAAGCTTGTGTACATGGTCATACAGAAACAGTAAAGATGTTGTTAGACAGAGGAGCAGACTGTAATAAAAGTGATAAAGATAACAAATCACCTGTAATGAAGGCTTGTGAACATGGTCATACAGAATTAGTAAAGGTGTTGTTGGACAGAGGAGCAGACTGTATTAAACGTGACATCTTCGGACAATCACCTTTAATAGTAGCTTGTGAAAATGGTCATACAGAAATAGTAAAGAATTTGCTAGACAGAGGAGCTGACTGTCATAGATATGACGATGATGACAACTTTGATAAGTCATTTGTAATAAAGGCTGATAAACATGGTCATACAAAACTACTAACGAAGTTATACAACAGAGAAGCAGATTTAAGCAACTGTGACGAATATGATCAGTCACCTGTACTGAATGCTTGTAAACATGGTCATACAAAACTAGTAACAATGTTATACGACAGAGAAGCAGATTTAAGCAACTGTGACGAATATGATCAGTCACCTGTACTGAATGCTTGTAAACATGGTCATACAAAACTAGTAACAATGTTATACGACAGAGAAGCAGATGTAAGCAACTGTGATGAATATGATCAGTCACCTGTACTGAATGCTTGTAAACATGGTCATACAGAAATAGTAACAATGTTATACGACAGAGAAGCAGATGTAAGCAACTGTGACGAATATGATCAGTCACCTGTACTGAAGGCTTGTAAACATGGTCATACAAAACTAGTAACAATGTTATACGACAGAGAAGCAGATGTAAGCAACTGTGATGAATATGATCAGTCACCTGTACTGAAAGCTTGTAAACATGGTCATACAGAAATAGTAACAATGTTATACGACAGAGAAGCAGATGTAAGCAACTGTGATGAATATGATCAGTCACCTGTACTGAAGGCTTGTAAACATGGTCATACAGAAATAGTAAAAATCTTTTTAGACAAAGGAGCAGACTTAAATGGATGTGACTTGTTTGGTAAGTCACTTGTGATGAAGGCTTGTAAACATGGTCATACAGAAATAGTAAATATTTTGTTAGACAGAGGAGCAGATTGTAATAAATGTGACAGATGGGGTTGTTCACCTGTAATGAAGGCGTGTGAATATGGTCATATAGAAATAGTTAAGATGTTGTTAGACAGAGGAGCAGACTGGAATCAATGTGACGAAGATAGCAAGTCACCTATAATGAAGGCTTGTAAACATGGTCATACAGAAATATTAAAGATGTTATTAGACATGGGAGCAGACTGTAATGAACGTGATTTGTTTGGTAAGTCACTTATAATGAAGGCTTGTAAACATGGTCATACAGAAATCGTAAACATGTTGTTAGACAAAGGAGCAGACTGCAACAAACGTGATGCAAAACGCGAGTCACCTGTAATGAAGGCTTGTAAACAAGGTCATATAGAAATAGTAAAGATTCTGTTAGACAGAGGAGCAGACTGTAATAAATGTGACAGTTGGGGACAGTCACTTATTATGGTGGCTTCTGATAATGGTCATACAGAAATAATCAAGATGTTATTGGACAGAGAAGTCGTCAGTAATGAATGTAAGAGGAGGGGTCAGTCACCTCTGATGAGTGCTACTGAACATGGTTGCACAGAAGCAGTACAGATGTTGTTAAACAGAGGAGCAGATTATAATGAATATGACAGGGTGGGTCAGTCACTTGTAATGATTGCTTCTGAATGGGGTTATACAGAAATAGTAAATCTGTTGTTAGATAAAGGAGCAGATTGTAATAAATATAACAAGAGGGGTCAGTCACCTCTATTGATGGCGTGTGATCGTGGTCATATAGAAATAGTAAAATTGTTATTAGACAGAGGAGCAGACACGAATAAAAGTGACAGCAATTGGGGACAGTCACCTGTTATGATGGCTTGTAAACATGGGGAAACAGAAATAGTAAAGATGTTATTAGACAGAGGGGCAGACTATAATAAATATGACAGCTGGGGTCAGGCACCTGTAATGATGGCTTGTAAACATGGTCATACAGAAGTAGTAAAGATGTTATTAGACAGAGGAGTAGATCATAAGAGATGTGACAACTGGGTTCAATCACCTGTGAAGGTTGCTTGTGAACATGGTCATACAGATATAGTAGAGATGTTATTAGACAAAGGAGCAGACTATAACAAACGTAACTGGTATGGTGAGTCACCTGTATTGAAAGCTTGTGAACATGGTCATACAGAAATACTGAAGATGCTATTAGACAGAGGTGCAGACTATAATAAATGTAACAGGAGAAGTCAGTCACCTCTACTTAAAGCCTGTGAACATGGTCATACAGAAATAGTGGAGACTTTATTAGACAGGGGAGCAGACTATTTTAAATGTGACTGTAATGGTATGTCACCTGTTATGATGGCCTCATTAAACAGGTACAATGATATAGTCACTTTAATAAAGGAAAAGTCCAGGAAGAGTTCCAATTAGTTTATATATGTGATAAAATTGTTAAAATGATTTTGAAACATCTGATATTACAAAGTATATTGACAGGCTTATATTATGTTTGAATGACGTATATAAATGTGTTGAAGACAAATGCAAAGTTCAATACCACTATACATGCTATAGTTAAACAGTATGTAACTTTTCTTAAGATAAATCCTTCGTAAAGAGATGAGCTACTGTTATAAAGATGTATTCTGACTTTACAAAGAAATATGTTGCTACTGGGGACCTTGTTGGTCGGGTAGTTTTAGTAGTTGATCTACTGTATCACTAGCCTGTCAATGCTGGTGTTGTCAGTTCAAATCCCACCCGTGGCAGGAGTGCACGATTCCAATCTTAATTGACTAGGATTGTCAGTTTTCCTACCCAAGGTCGTTGTTTCTATCCGGGGACTCCGTCTCCACCAAACAATAAAAAACCGCCATGAAATAGCAAAATAGTGCTGAAAGTGCCGATCAACACCAACCAATCTATCAATCAATAAGATACTGTTGTAATGATTTTTTCTGAAATTATTACGCAATATGCTATTGATGTTAAGATTTATTCTGATATTACTCAGCAATATGCTATGGGTGTAAAGATATATTTTGACAGAATAACACATAAAGCAAAATGCTGCTGTTGTAAATCTTTTTTTGCGGTTAGGGCTTTGCTCATTGTTGAAGGCATTACAGTGACCTATAATTGTTAATTTCTGTGTCATTTAGTCTCTTGAGGAGATTGTCTCATTGGCAATCATACCACATCTTCTTATTTTTATATAAGGAGAAATGGTAATTTCTAAAATTATACAGAAAAATGCTTTAGTTGTTAATGTGGTATCTGATATAATAAAGCAATGTGCTACTGTTGTTAAGAGTTTCACTGATTTACTGTTAATGTATGTATATATGGTGCAGTTTTATATACTAAATGTTTTTTTACTAATATAAGATATGCTATTGTTTGATAGGGATGTGCTACTGTTGTAAATAGATATATGTTTTATTGTTGTAAAAATGAATTTGTTAATGTTGAAAAATATATATGTGCTATTGTTGTAAATATATTAAGTTATATTGTGAAATAAAAGTACAGATATCCTTTTATTCTGATTTCATTTTTTTATGCTTTGAAGAATAAAAAGTTAAATCTCAAAAATACTGAACTCCGAGGAAATTTCAAAACGGATAGTCCCTAATCAAATGATAAAACACATCAAACGAATGGACAACAACTGTCATATTCCTGACTTGGTACAGGCATTTTCAAATGTAGAAAATGGTGGATTGAACCTGGTTTTATAGCGCTAAACCTCTCACTTGTACGAAAGTCGCATCAATTTCCAAAGAATTAAAGTAAAGAATTTTGTCTCAGTTAATGGAAGGTAAAGAATTTTATCTCAGTTGACTGAAGGTCTATTAAGCTTTTATCACAAAAGAAGGCTATAAATTTTGGGGTCATTAGGTCAACCTTTCAAGGCCGATGTAACCAAGGAAATGTTTTGGTGAGATAATTAAGTTTCGTTTGTTGGTTTACATTTGAAACGTTTAAAGACAAAACAAATAAAAAAGTCTAGGAACCCATTGATAAGTATGTCAAAGTTCAAGGCCACGGCAGCATTAAATAGACACAAAATATAGAAAAAATGAGATGCTTGTTTTTTTTTCTCGGTTGTTAGTATGAAAATATGAAGATTTGTTATGATTTTTTACCAATGAAATACTTATCCAGAGTATATGATTAAAATGTGAACAATTAAATGTCACCATATGACCTTCAACAATGAGCAAACCCATACTATATAGTAAAGAGAAGCTACGATAATAATAATTAGGAAAATTAGTACGTCTATATTTATCCTGGATTTTAAGTATTTGTATTGTAATCTGATGAAGTCACGCGATGAATTAGTAAACAGTTTGTTTTGCTTGCAGTAGCTTTCTCTCTGGACTTGTCCATGTTTTGTTTTTCTCGGACTAGGATGCAAGCAGCTGGACTGGTGTACGAGGTGAGCAAAAGTCGCTTATCCTTTTGTAGAACCGGATGTTGTCTCTAGGTTTATGAGATTGCATGATTGTCACTTATTATTCCGAAGTTTTCTAAAGAAAGGGCTGAGATATTATAATGGTAATTACGTCCATATTGATAAATACTTTTTCAGTTTATTGAATGAAATTTATGTATTATTGACGCCCTAATCCGGGGCGAAGCATGATTGTTATTGGCCCTTATTTTTGGAAGAGTGATTGTGGGGCGAACCCGGATGAATTTCCGATCATTGTGTGTTTGAACGTTAAGTGGAGTTAATGTTAGGTTGTTGCTATAGCTACCCATAAAGTATAATTACGTATGTCGAAATCAGAATAGACAGTTCACAAACAAAGCATCCGAATCAGCTGTTGCAAAAACGAGGTCATACATGGAATAAGGAGGATATTTCAATGTATTCGTAGCCCGTGAAGGACAATGGATGATGAGGGTTTCCATGATCAGAAGTGCCGATTAAAGATTAAATCTAGGACTTTGAAAAGATAAAACATGGACTGTGGTGCATAAAATGTAAACAAAATCAATTTCGATAACGTCATTTTACAGTTGTCAGTTGCGAGTTACAGTTTTGGTGCATCTGTGTTTTGTTTTGTTTTTTGTTTTTTTTTTATGAGGGTAAAAGCAAAAGTGGGGTTAGTTTTTAACAAGTAATAAGAATATCCGCTAGTTCGGAGCCTACTAGATTTTGCTGTCCTGCAATTTTGTCAGTAACTATGGTAAACATAATACTGCCAAAAGAAACAAGTACTTTTTGATTAATTTGAATCAATGCAAATTCACTATTTTAATTTGCGCCTGCATTTGACCTAATTCCTTACACGAGGTGGTCTCAAGATGCAGCTCTATTCTGAGCGGGAATTTTGTTTCGGTATGCCTCGGAATTCAACTCTCATTTATCATATGTATTAAGGTTCAATGTATAGTTTCTATTCGGGTATTAGTCGATTCTTTTATTTAAACGTTGGCCTAAGCTAAACAAAAGTACATTAGTAGAGGACTAAACGGAGGCCCGGGTCCTCCACCATATATTATAACATAAAAAGATAAAGGTCGTTCCTGCTATACTATAACAAATGATAAGAAGGACGTTGGAATCCATGTAAATGGTATATATAGAATGTTGTTATGTTGTGAAGTTAGCTGTTGTGTTGATTCCTGGCAGAATCTCAACAGACAAACTACATCTGTGAGAGCTGGTACTTGGTTGTTATATGCTGGGGGAAACTAGCTGTTGACAATGCCTTGGATGGAGTATGGCATTGCTGCCGATGTAAAGGCATGCCGGGCGTTGTTGCCGATGTAGAGGCGGGCCGGGCGTAGTTGCCAATGTAGAGGCAGGCCGGGATCGACTGACACCTATAAGTTTCAAAATTCAAACTTTTTAATAAAATAAATAAAAACAAAATAAAAACAAAACAGTTACAGACAATAATAAAGTAAAACAAATATTTACAATTATTTCCCTAATAGAAAACAATAAATATCGTGATAAAACTTCATTTATGAAAACTTTTAATTATCTTTATTTTAGTTTAACTTGATTAGAAATATTTTTCTTTAAATCTTGATAATTTAAAAATCATGGCTTACCTATAAGTTTCAAAATTCAAACTTTGACGTCTCAAAGCAGAATTTCTACTTATATAGCTGTCATTTATTTGATGGTATGCCAACGTGGCTTTCTTTGTCAGCATAAAATTAGAAATTACCAAATCTGGTTATTGTCCGAAATAAGGTTAAAATGTTGTATAATTAAATGTCCCATATAAAATAAAGATGTCACTTTGACATTGGGGATAATGAATAATCTTTAAATGACCAGAGAACAGTTTGCCTTATCCCACGGTATATAATAGTGATTAACAAAATCATTACCTTTCTTATTTAAATAAAATTTAATTAATAATTGTAACGTCAGCAATGTCCAAAATTTATGTCAAATATCTGTCACAATAGTATTCCGAAAATAAAACAGATGAAACCACTTTTGTAAATCGAATGCAAAACACATATTAACAATAATGTCGAGCTTCAAGATAAATTCAAAAAGGGGAGTCCATTAAACCTGACATAAACCAAACAAAATATGACTATATCGGCCAAAGTAAGTCATCGGCTGTCATAATCCTGATTTTATACAGGTATTTTCGAAGGAAATGATAGGAAGTATTGCTGTTCTGGCTCCAAAAAAGGTACAGCCAGAAAAGTTGGCAGTTCATATTTTGTTGTCACTAGTTTGACCAGCTTTTGAGCAAGCTATGGAGTCTTTATTTCGAATTCCTCTAATCAAATTGAAGCTTCGATCAATTTAATTTAATTTTCTTATGCGCTCTACACCATTTAAATTGAAGAGATGATCTGTCATGTAATGTATTGCACTGTTATGTTTTTTCTTTACTGTTGAAGAAGAAAATTAACAAGTTTCACTGTACTGTTGTCTGAAGTTGAGGAACGAATGCCAAATGCAGATACATTTGTTAATTTCAACTTTAAGTAAATTTCAAAAAATAATTTTTGCTCCCCTTTCTATCATGTTTTAGGAGACACCATTTGTTATTTCTGTAGTACAGTGGTTTCGATTATTCTCATAGCCAATTTTCCGAATCTAATTATACAATTAAGTGGAGTATGCTTATAATATTCGACATCTGAAATTATGGGGTCAAACATGATTGGAATACAGGAAATCCCCCCAAAAAAGGCGAAGACCCGTGACCCATTTGTGCAATGTTGAATTAAATTCATGATATCTATCTCATATGATATTGCTTTAATTCTTTCAATAAAGTTTGTAATAACGTTCTGTCTAGTTATTGTTTACCTGCGCTTCCTTTTCTTAGTTGACAAAAAAATTAAATAGAATCAGTTGTAATGCTAATACAGTGACCTCAATAGTTACCGTATATGTAAAGCAGTAAACATTGGTAGAGGGGCTCTTTACATTTGTTTCGCACGAGCGTAGAATGTGAGAAAATATCAGAATTACAGTAACTGGTTATGTATTTTTTGTCTATTTTAACTAAAAATATGAAACGTATATTTTAAGGTCATACACAATTTTATTGTAATCCTCTGCCATGTAAAAAATGGAACCAAATCAATCAAAGCTTATGAAGAGTGTAAACCAGTGGATGGTATTTAAAAGTTTAATAGCAGGAATATTATTTTCTAATTCATCCAGAAAGTAATTCTTTATAATATGTGTTTTAGCTTCTGTGACAAAACACTTTTCTTGACGCCCTTTTTTTGGTAATTGTATTATTTTCTACTTTCTTATTGCATGTTTTTTCTGTTGGTTGGGTGCTGACTCATACAATTGGCACAAATTACCTTTTCTATGCATTCCCTCCGTAAGTTTTCTACCCTACAATTTACACGTGGTTAAAATCAGTCACTTGTCAAAAATTGAAACATGTCCAATATCACTTCACAGAGATTATGTTTTTAAGCCAATGATTTGATTTTCTCAATTCTGGTTCCGAGGCCGAGAGGATACATCTCTTACATGCCTTGACTTTACTTTAATTTCAAATTTAAAAATACTTTGCATATTGTAACCTTCGTCCCCCCTCCCTCCACACACATACACTGCATTCAATAAAAATCGATTTCGAAGAGAAACGTCATCACCAAAAGAAGCATTGGAATTCTGTCTTTTAGGTAATTTTAACGGTGAAAAATGGCAGTTAATTTACCTGATCAATTGAGCCATATTTTTTCACCAGCCTTAAGCTCGAAAATGTCAATTTTGATTTTCTTGGATTTATTTATAATTTTAAATCAAAATAACCCAGGTTAAACTTCGTAATGAAGCATTTTAGGATTCATCATTACTGATTTTTGTTCAAACGAATTTTACAATAAGATACAATAAGATTCATGTATGACACAATTTTGAAAACTCAAAAATCCTCAGCGCAGGACTTTACATCCTCAGCGCTGGACTTAAAATATTCAGTGTTAGACTTTCCATCTTCAGCATTAGACTTTAAATCTTCAGCGCAAGTTTTTAATCTTTAGTGCACTTTTTTAGATCTTCAGCGCTCGACTTTACATC